TGCGTGTGAAATCAATGATATTTTTCTATAGTTTCCACACTCTGTTGGGTCACCCTTCTTTGGGATGGGAACAAATATAGATCTCTTCCAGTCAGTTGACCAGGTGGTTGTTCTCCAGATTTCTTGGCACAACTTGGTGAGCACATCCAGGGCAGCATCTGTTAGCTGAAATATGTCAATTGCTATTTCCCTCGAAGCAGCCTGCATTTCTTCCTTCATCACCATAGATTCTTACTCATAGGTTGCTTCATGAAATTCTGTGTCTGCCAATTCCTTTTGATACAGTGACTCAGTATATTCTTTCCATCTTCTTTTAATACTTCATGGATCCTTTAATAGTCTGCCTAAAGCATCCTTGATTATAGGAACTCGAGGTTTGAATTTGTTCCTCAATTCCTGGAGCTCAAGAAATGCTGAGTGAGTTTCTGACTCCAGCTCCTTACACATTTCATTGTAATATTTTCCTTTTCATCCCATGCTGCCTTTTGAAATCTTCTGTTCAGCTCTTTAGTATCTTGAATTCTTCCTTGTGCTTTGGCTTCTCTGTGCTCAGTGCAATCTTCAGAGGTTCTTCTGACATCCATTTTGGTCTTTTCTTCCTCCTGTGTCTTTGTAATGACCATTTGCACTCTTCCTGCATGATAAACCACAGGGTAGGTAAATAGTCTTTTAAAAATGGGTTATCTGTAGATATTTGTTAAATTAAACAGAATGGATATAGCATTTAATCCATGAATCCATTGTTTGTTTAAATATAGGTTGTGATGAGGGTCAAGGACTGTACTCTCCAAATATTAATTGAAGCTCAACATTGACAAGGATTCTCATCACTGGGCCAATTAGCAGCACCATGATAGCTGGAGAAGAGATTGATGTAGTTAACAATTTCACCTTACTCTGCTCCACATTCAACATTTTTGACACTAGCAATCGGGAGATAAAAAGATGAATTGCATTGTGGATTTTCACTGCCAGGCACCTCTCCAAAATGCTAAAGAGTAACGATGTCAGTCTAGAGACTAAGGTCATGGTCTTTGAAATTACTTGCTATGCGTCAGAGAGCTGGACAATGATGGAAGATGACAGAAGAATTGATGTCTTTGAGTTGAGGTGCTGAAAAGAGTATTGAACACACCATGGACCACCAAGAGAACAAACAGATTTCTTAGGGTGAGGTGAAGTTTCTCCTTAGAGGCAAGGATTTTACAGCTCTGTTTCACAAACTTTGGGCATATGGTCAGGAGGGATCAATCCTTGGAGAAGGAAATCATGCTTGGAAGGGTGGAGAGACAGGAGAGTAAGACCTGGGATGGGATGGATTAATTGAGTTAATTAAGGTCAGTATATTAGAGTCAGTAAGACTGACTTAGGATAGGGCAGAGTTCAGAACTACTGTATGTAGGGTCAATATGAATCAGAGGTGACTCCATTGTACATAATAACAACAATAGGTTGTTTTGATGATATCGATGCCAGTTACTTTATGGCTTTAAAACAACAGTTTTGTACAACATAAAATGTTGCTGTATATTTAACATGAAACAAAATATTCTCAGCAACTTAATGATCTTCCTTTACTTTTCTGCATCAATTCCAAGTCCTCCTCTGACATCTGATTTCTCTTTTCACAGACTCATTTTGTCTGACAGAAACACATTTTAAACTAGAAGCATCCCTATGCTCCATTCTGACCATTCCATTTTCATATAATCTATTTATCATTCATACTTGTTAGGTTGATTTCCACCCTCCAGTGGGTTTTGAAGCTGTACATCCCACAGGAGGAGATGACCTATCTTTCTCTCCAGAAATTGCTGGTGGATTTGGAATAAATGAGATGTGTAGTCTCTGGGTTTAAAGTGCCATGAAAATTCCTTTATTATGTTGTTATGAGTAATCTATGACTGAAAAGCACTCAGAAAAAATTTTATACACACACATATACATATATGTGAGTAT